ATTCGATACTTGCTAGATTCCCCAAACATTCAGCTTTCATATGCATCTTTTGGATTCATTCTATCTGTTATAGTTTTCGAGTAATTCAATGAAATGTGAAAATACTGCTTTTTCGAACGTTTTAATTTCAAATTTTCAACTTTGAACGAGTATTACAGCAAAATGGATAAGAGCACAGGAATGTATCTATACTTGCTGGATTCCCCAAACATTCAGCTTTCATATGCATATATTGGATTCATTCTATCTTGAAATTTATTTTAGATTTTATACAAAATTTATTCTTAGTTCGTTTTTTATATAAATAAACATTTTTTTAAATAAAAAAAACTTTTTTCTTATAAACATACACACTACTAATAGTGAAGATGGTAGAATCAATGCAGCACGTATACATATTAAAATAGATCTGCACGTTTTATAAATAATGAAATTAGTGTACTCAAATTAATAATTTAAAAAAATATATTACACATATATTTATTTTTAATGTAAATTTATAAATTGAAGACATTTATGTTTACAGTTATTGATAAATATATTCCTTTTTTTTTAAATAGTTTTTGAATAATTCGTACACTAATAGTTTTAAAATGAGTAAGTTAATTTCATATTTGTTGTTTTGTTAATCGAAATCTATACAAAAGTAGATACATTTTTCTTGTAGATTTTTCAACTATATCTGCAGATCATAACTTTGTGCTGGTGGAGTGTAAAGAAAACACGACGTATTTCAGATTAGGAAGAGTTTCTGAAATCTTCGGGTTGTTCAGACCGAACGATAGTTATTATAACTCGAGCGAAACTAATAATTTGATTCCGTGCGACGTGATTATGACATCAAGTAAATTAAGTTTTCGTTGAAAAGAAAAAAAAAACTCTAATACTAATATTTGCTGTTGTTGTTGTTGTGTTTCAGATGATATAGAGAAGCTGAGAGCAAGGATGGTCCAACATATAGCTTACAACATGTTGCATCCACATTCGCGAGTGAATATGTTAACGACTTTCGGACCGCACGAAACGTTAATTAATAAGAACTTCTTCAGTCGGATCAGGTGGTGCGATTACAGGTCGGCAACGCAGAATTTACTCTGTGCGGTGTTTTCGCGCGAGACTTTGGCCACCCACACTGTGGCGGGAAGGCAATCGCCGAAACTCAAGTTGGACGCGAATAAAATCGATGATATAATTTCCATCGTCACTAATAAATGCAATGTAACCAGGGAACATGTGTTGCAAGTGATTACGTACAGATGCTGGTTCGAAGATAGGAAACACAAGCAGAGAAAGTCACCAAAAGGTAAAAAATAATCAACAACAACAACGACGAAAAACTCTGTATTTTATTTATGATTGTCAAGATTAAAGTTTTGTAATTATTTTAATAAAAAAAATTAATAAAAGTTTATACTTTTTCTTACATTCTCTTTTTAATTAATTAATAACAACAATTTGTCGAAATGTTTATAAATCGAAACTAAATGG